CAAGGTGAGGCATGGGGTATTCACTATATACATCACAACGATCTTAACTTTTTCTCATGCCTAAGACCCATATCACCAAACCATTACAATACAAAAAGACCAGCAGGCAAACTGCATAGCAACATCAAAGGCAGATAATCAGATACCTGAGCTACTCAAACCTCCCGGCCAATGGAAGGATAATAAATAGAAGAAATTTAATTGCTCTCTCCTGTAGGTCCTGTTAAAATCTGTTGATTTTATTTAAGGTCAAAATACTGAATGATCACCTACTGACCTGAAGGTCATGTAAAAATCTGTTGATTTTATTTAAGGTCAAATACCTGAATGATCACCTACTGACCTGAAGGTCATGTTAAAATCTGCCTAGGCAGAATGTTTTCTTTTCAAAACTGGCCTAGGCACCCAGGTCGACGCAGCCTAAATTAGGCACCAGGTAATATCCTGGGAAGTAAATACAGTAGGCATGATGTTGACCGTATCGCCATTTAAGTGCTTATATAGGTTTAACAGTCTATGCCCGATGTGCCAAAGGGTGTTAAAAGGGTCCTATATCTTTTGGAGGGCCGTTGAGGCCTCAAGACCAACAACAAAATTTCACAATCATCAAGATCTTTCAGCACCTCCTCTCCCCCCCCCCCCCCCCCCAAGTTGCTGACTGTGAACCCTTAAAAAAAATTTGACCATTAACATTTTCATTTTGGTGCATCAGTGGCAATGGAACGTCATGTCTGTCAATCAATCAATTTACAAACAAATCAACTAATGAAGGAGGCAACCAATCAACGAATCAATCAACTAATCTAATCTATCAACAACAACAAAACAAAATTTAAAAATAGCCAATCAATTAATTAACAAAACTAACCAACCAATCAAATGCCATCTTCACAATGAAATGGATCTCTATTTATTTAAAGATGTTTTAAGTGTAGAAGTTCTAAGTCTTGGTGACAATACACAAACCTAACACACTTTTAAAAAAAATACTTGTGCACACCCTGTCTGCATGTTCTATCAGTTTGGATTTCTAGAGCCAACATAAGACTGAATCTGTCTACCTCTCCCTCAAAGCTCCACATTAGTGATTCTGTCTGACCATGTCAGTCCTGTTCTGTGCAGCCACAAAATGTGTGTAGTATGTTAGTAACTGTGTGAATTGTGGATTATCTCCAAGTCCTTGAGAAAGAGAATAGGGGCTTTTGAGCTGAAATGCTATAGAAAGATTCTCAGAGTATCTTGGACAAAGAAGAGAAGAAATACTGAAATCTTGAAAGATCTGAACATCATGGCAGATTGGCTAATAAACAGCATCCTGTCTCGGAAGCTAAAATATTAGTCATATCAAGTGCCACGACGGATTGGAAAAAATTTTAGCAGAAGGCATGGTACCAGGAAGGAGGGGCAGGGGCTGACCAACACGAAGATGGGCACAGGATATAAGTGTCTTCTTGAGTATAAAAGTACATGAGGCGGGAGAGCTGGTGAGAGATTGAGTTTCTTTCAGGCAGACAGTGATGAGAGCGACGTTCTGCAAAGGATCTGCTACACGATGATGATGGTAGTAACTTCTTTAATTGTTCTTCTTTGGTAACTGCTGTCCTAATATAGGACGCGATTTTTCATTATTTAAAAGCTCCCCTCGGCTGTTGTCGGGGACCCTAATATAACCTGACATTTGAACAGGATTTCTGGGACTCGCACCCGAGTGATTCTTATCCAAATAGCAAAATTTTGTGTCACCAGGTGTTTATCGCTCATCGTGCGGTCCTGGTGGAGTTGAACTTCATTCATTCTGTTCTCTTTCAACAGCCATACTGATCTGACTTCAGAGTGAAATATTCTACGTCTGCTACTAGACTTTGAGAGAAGTAGCTGGTTGAAGTGTAGGAAGTGCTGAGCTCTCAAATGGGAGATCTCTTCTTCTTTTCATTCGTCCGAGTGATGTAACTGCTTTGTACCTGTTTACAACATAGCTGCAATATCTGTGTCTTTAGGCTAACATATCTGCCTTCATCGAGCCTCCATTGATTATGTTACCTTTCCAGATGTGAGAGATCTAGTCTGCAATCCACAGTTCTCCATGTGGGTTATGAGACCCCATTTGGGGGGAGAAATAAACTGACCTGGTTGCCCCACTACAAGCATGTTGTAAAAGTCAACTATATTAGGAGTCTTTCCTTTGAAGTGGGAGGGCATCTGTCAGGAACAATGATTTGCATACAACTAAGCTAGATATGTAAAACTTAAGTTCTAAAACATACTAGAACAAGACTAGATGAACAATGAGAGTTTTTCGCCCAATGAATGAACAAACAAAAAAAGAGAGTACGATCAAAAGTAAAGAACAACGATTTCTTCTGTGAGGGAGAAAAATAAAAAAAAAACCTAACCTGCACTGCTGATGGTGATTGCACTATTGTACTAGCTACAAGGACTTAAACTACCTCAAGCTCCTGACCCAAAACCCTCCCACCCCAGGAACTGTTTGTATCAAGAAAGAGGAACAACTAAAACTAAGCACACATCAGGAGAGAAGAATAACTAAGCACATATTAAGAGAGAAGAACAACTAAGCAGAAGCTGAAGCTACAAAATTTGTTTGTTAGTTAGTTAGTTAATCAACATTTTATCCTTACTTCACTTCAGACAAATCCACAAGTACTCGGACAATATCTTTAGCATATCCCTCAGCATGTAGCGACTGATAATACCCACTTTTGTGTTGGTTTCCTATTCCTCTCTGGCCACCTGGATAGTGTTCATGTTTGACGACACCTCTTTTGACCTGAAGTTCTTGTAGTCTTTTGAGTGTTGCCGATTCAACGTCATCTCCTTAATCATTTTCTCATCCAGCCTCCTTGACAGCACTGAGAATGTTGGCCTGGTCCATTGCTTGTCCTGTACCTACCATTGCCCTGCCAGCAAGCCAATCTGCTCGTTCATTCCCTCTTACCCCAATATGTTTGTCTTTTGCATGGGTGATGTTTCTGGCAGGAGGCTAGCCATTCTGCAGAAAGAGACCGAATTATATGGGGTTATCCAGTCTAGTGGATGAAGTCGATCGTCTCAACCTGTGAAGATGTACATTCACGTCATGTTGTAGTTACGTGTTTGTATACAAAACCCATGTGCTGGAGATCATAAGAATCCATGCCCGTGTGAGTTCTGGGATCCTACTGTGGGTTCTGGGGTCCCACTGTGGGGAAAACAAGAACAGATCAACTGCCTCTCCGACAAGCATGTCATAAACAATAAAGGGCTGCCTTCAATTAAGGCCTGAGAGGAAAACCAACAGTCGGCATCCTGCGAAATCTGTAAAACGGCGTGCAAATGAAAACTCGGGTCCTCCAGATAGTCCCAGATGAAACAACCAGCCTTTCGACCTGGATTTATAGCCGGTGAACGCAAACAACAATACAAGAATTTAAATGACATCCATAGATTGGTGTTCATGTTGATTTATAGATAATTCACATGCATGCTGGAATGATGTGAATTTATATAACATTCACATGTCAGAGAAAGCTCCTTTGCCGTGACAGATGTTGGTCACTTAAGAACAATGTACAACAATGTTCCCCGCAATAAATCAAAAAAAAAAAAAAAAAAAAGGAATCTTGCATGTTTTATATGTAAAAAGGTAACAATATTCCTCCAAAACAGAGAAACAACAAAAACATAAAATTTATTAAAGTTTTAAAAAAGTGATCTTCACAGGGTGAATTGTTAAGTATGATATTCTGATTGAAATCTTCTGAATATATTTATTCTCTTTTGTTTGTGCCATATTTTTTTTGCATAAAAACAAACTATGACTTCGGATTATTTTATCTGCATACAGTGAATATGCCATGTGTGATGAGATGTTGTACCAAACAGTGTATAATCTGCTTCATCTTTTATGTTAGGTCAGAGAATACTAAAGATATCTGGCTAGATTTTGAACAGGCAGCAAAATAACTGCATTAGATTTGAGTTTAGCCATTGAAAATGGTTTGGTTGTATTAAAAGTGGTACCTGATTTTGACTTATTTAGAGTAGTAATTTACATGTGTGACTCTGGCATGTTGTAAAATAATTAAAAAAAAAAAAGTCCTAAAAATGCACTTTAGTAAAAAAAAATCAAAAATGGACAGGTGACTTGGCGTACTGATAAAGAACTGTCTCTTATGGATGTCGGAGACAACATCATCCAGGACTGAACAAGTTAAATCTTGAGACGGAAAAAATGCAACTACGATTCTCCAGTTAATTCTTATTTGTTTCTGTAGTTTGAGGTGACTGTCAATATATTCAATATATATCCATTGCGACAGAACCTAACTTTGACTCTGTGTCCATGTCTACAGAGCCTTTTGCTTCCTGTGTGGGTTCCAGACCCACTGACTCCCTAACAAGCATTTGATAAAATGTGACTAGTCAGAGGTTTGCTGAAACTGGATGTGCTGGGTCAAAAGACACAGATAGTGAAGACAAGGTCAACCCACAACAGAATATGCCAGCCGTCCATTAATGGGCGAACACAAAAGAAGTCTGTTGTATCCTGCTATGAGTCTCAACAATGTCCTCGTAAATTCCTTTTGTTTAATACTGTTCTGTTTAGCTACTTTAGATGCAAAATGTTTTAGTTTTATGCAATAACATCTTCAGGCACAATGAGTTCAAAGTAATTTATGTCTGAGATTCAATGAATTAACTACCACCCTCTAATATCACCTCAAATCCCTCAGTATTTTATCTTTACCTGATTGGGATTCAGGATTTTATCTTTATCTGACTGGGATTGAATGAATTAACTGTATCCTCTAATATTATCTCAAATCACTCAGTATTTTATCTTCATGGTTGTGAAACTTTTCCCCAGTATAAAACACCAGTTCTAGAAGCTTCCACTGACTCAACCCAAATTTGAGACTGGTCCAGCTTTGACATGATATGTGTGAGAGGTCCAAATTTACAATGAGAATGAAACAACCTATGCACAGCTGTGTGTGGTGTCACAAGTCGGGAAAGCGTCCGGGATCCTCTCGGTAGTGGGCTGGTATGGAGAAGAGACTTCTGTCAAGGTCATCCTTCCACTGGAAATTGGTGAAGGTGACTTTTGCAGTGATTGTTGGAAAGACTGGTATTTCTGTTGCAAGAAATAAAAAAAAAGGAGATGAATTTTCAACGGTGAAATGTAAAGAAAACATAATTCTCTAATAACTAGTAATATAGGATAATAGGGGAAATACCATATGGAGATTACTGGACTCTGCCATGTTGAAATACTGCGTGAGATGCACCAGCTGACTGTTAAACAGGATTAATCCATACTGGCTTGACTGTGACCGGGATTACTGAAGATCATAATATCCACTTCGGATCAGGGTGGATGTGACACACTGGCTACTGATGATCACTAAAGAAAATCTGGATCCAAAATGTGGATGACTGGACTGGCCTCAAATTTGAAAACATTAATCCCAGTGCATCTGACTGTCTCAGTGGAGGGATCTGATCAGACAGGTATCAGCAAATGACAATCCAATGTCACACTGTGTTATGGAACTAAGATGACGATGAAAAACAGCAAGTAAATTAAGTGGGAGTTGAGGTAGCATAGCAGCCAGAAACTTGTCTGCTGATCAAAGGTCTTGGGTTTAAATCCAAAATTTATATTACTGACCAGGTGTCCCAGCTTTTCTCAGCCTACAACTTCTTCTTCTTCTTCAGCATTCCAAGCCCTTGAGGTTCAGTGCAGCAAATATCACCCGACTCCATTCATCTCTCTGGTTAGCCTTCTTCAGCATTCTGAGCCCTTCTCTCTGGTTGGCCTTCTTTAGCATTCCAAGCCCTTGAAGTTCACTGCTGCAGATATCATTCGCCTCCAATCATCTCTCATGTATGTATGTATGTATGTATGTATGTATGTATGTATGTATGTATGTATGTATGTATGTATGTATGTATGTATGTATTCATGTATGTATGTATGTATGTCAGTATGTATGTATGTATGATGTATTGCTGCAGATGTATGTATTCATCACCTGTATGTAGTATGGTTGCGCCTGTATGTATGTATGTATGTAGTATGTATGTATGTATGATGTATATCATGTATGTATGTATGTAATCTATGTATGTATGTATGTATTATGTATTCTGTATGTATGTATGTATGTATGTATGTATGTAGATATGTATGTATGTATGTCATGTCTGTATGTATGTCCTTCTGTATGTATGTATGTGTGGACACAAATGTATGTATGTATGTATGTATGTATGTATGTATGTATGTATTGTATGTCTGTGGTATGTATGTATGTATGTATGTACATGTATGTATGTATGTATGTATGTATGTATGTATGTATGTATGTACAGTATGTATGTATTATAAGTATGTAGTATGTATGTGTGCATGTTCGTATGTATGTGTGTGTGCATGTTCGTATGTATGTAGATGCATGTGTGTACTGGGAAGCCTATGTGTTGTGTGTAAAAGTGAGTGATTAAGTTGTGTGTGTATCCTGGTCCATGTGTTCGCGCATGAGCGTGCGCACATATTTACCCACCCATGCTTTTGTTTTTGACTTTATATATAACTATGCAGTTATTACATAAATATAACATGCTTCATTGATGAAATACAACTGCTGTGCGAAAGATGGAAGTTTGGAAGGGCCGAATGTAAGACAGGCCTGCGTGCCTAATTTGTAACCCTTTGAAAATAAAGTTTGTTCGTTCGTTCGTTCGTTCTCTCGCTGGCCTTCTTTAGCATTCGGAGCCCTTGAGGTTCATTGCTGCAGATATCACCGCCTTCATTCACCTCTCTGGTTGGCCTTCTCTTTCCAGTTGGTGACACAAAGAGTTTGCAGGTCTGTCAGGACGTTATCTCTCCATCGTCTTCTTGGTCTGCTCAACTATGATACAGTAAGCTGTGATTTTCATAGGGAATATTACAGTCTGTGTCCATATAAAGGAAAGGAGTGTGGGTGTGTGTGTGGACATGTGCATATGTGTGTGGGTGGGTCGAAGGTGTAAGGGAAGACAAGCATGTCATAAAAGACTTCTGACTAACTAAGTAAGTAAAGGATCCTTTTCCATGTCTTTAGGCATATTGGGCTAGATCTATATTTTATTCACTGATTGAAACTTAGTGAGTGATGTGATCAACATCATGCTGACCACCTTTACTTCCCATGTCTTTACCTGGTACACACTCAAGGCTGGGTCAACCTGACAAGGTCATTTTTGAAAATGAAAAAAAAAAGTCTGGTTCCATTATACTTGAACCTTTGGATCCGAGGGTGAGTGTCTAGCCGGTACACCCCAGCAGCTCTCCATCTAAATAAGGGTTTGTAGAAATCAGATGTGTTGGCTTGAAAGGTCCAGATATCACACCCCATATGTAAATCATAACATAATGTACCAACTACCCTTTTACGGGCAAACATAAAAGATGACGAAGAAGAAGAAAAAGCAGCAGAAGAAGACGGAGAAGAAGAAGAAAAATATGAAGAAGGAGGAGGAGGAAGAAGAAGGAAAAGGAGGATGAAGAAGAAGAAGAGGAGGAGAAGGAGGAGGAGAAGAAGCCAAACTAACATAACCACAGCACACAGTTTACCTATTCGAACTGGAAAACCTGGTGGAAGTTTAGAGGTCATGAAATCCCTTAGCTTCTGAAACTGTTTGAATGGGGCTACCACTTCTAGAACATCAAGCAGCCTAGGAACATAAATGTCACTACACTTAGAAACACAAACATATTTACGCTATAGCAAGTGCAAATCATTGTAGGGTAGAGTAGTGAAGACTTACAGTTCAATACTGTACAGCAGGTCACTGTAAGGTAGAGTAGTGAAGACTTACAGTCCAACACTGTACAGCAGGTCACTGTAAGGTAGAGCAGTCAAGACTTACAGTCCAGCACTGTACAGCAGGTCAATGTAAGGTAGAGTAGGCAAGACTTACAGTCCAACACTGTACAGCAGGTCATTGTAAGGCAGAGCAGTCAAGACTTACAGTCCAACACTGTACAGCAGGTCAATGTAAGGTAGAGCAGTCAAGACTTACAGTCCAACACTGTACAGCAGGTCATTGTAAGATAGAGTAGTGAAGACTTACAGTCCAACACTGTACAGCAGGTCAATGTAAGGTAGAGCAGTCAAGACTTACAGTCCAACACTGTACAGCAGGTCAATGTAAGGTAGAACAGTCAAGACTTACAGTCCAACACTGTACAGCAGGTCATTGTAAGGTAGAGCAGTCAAGACTTACAGTCCAACACTGTACAGCAGATCACTGTAAGGTAGAGTAGTGAAGACTTACAGTCCAACACTGTACAGCAGGTCAATGTAAGGTAGAGCAGTCAAGACTTACAGTCCAACACTGTACAGCAGGTCAATGTAAGGTAGAGCAGTCAAGACTTACAGTCCAACACTGTACAGCAGGTCACTGTAAGATAGAGTAGGCAAGACATACAGTCCAACACTGTACAGCAGGTCACTGTAAGATAGAGTAGTCAAGACTTACAGGCCAACACTGTACAGCAGGTCATTGTAAGGCAGAGCAGTCAAGACTTACAGTCCAACACTGTACAGCAGGTCATTGTAAGGCAGAGCAGTCAAGACTTTCAGTCCAACGCAGTACAGCAGGTCATTGTAAGGCAGAGCAGTCAAGACTTACAGTCCAACACTGTACAGCAGGTCATTGTAAGATGGAGTAGTGAAGACTTACAGTCCAACACTGTACAGCAGGTCATTGTAAGGTAGAGCAGTCAAGACTTACAGTCCAACACTGTACAGCAGGTCATTGTAAGGTAGAGCAGTCAAGACTTACAGTCCAACACTGTACAACAGGTCATTGTAAGGTAGAGCAGTCAAGACTTACAGTCCAACACTGTACAGCAGGTCATTGTAAGGTAGAGTAGTCAAGACTTACAGTCCAACACTGTACAACAGGTCATTGTAAGGCAGAGTAGTCAAGACTTACAGTCCAATACTGTACAGCAGGTCATTGTAAGGTAGAGCAGTCAAGACTTACAGTCCAACACTGTACAGCAGGTCATTGTAAGGCAGAGCAGTCAAGACTTACAGTCCAGCACTGTACAGCAGGTCATTGTAAGGTAGAGCAGTCAAGACTTACAGTCCAGCACTGTACAGCAGGTCATTGTAAGGTAGAGTAGTCAAGACTTACAGTCCAGCACTGTACAGCAGGTCATTGTAAGGTAGAGTAGTCAAGACTTACAGTCCAATACTGTACAGCAGGTCATTGTAAGGCAGAGTAGTCAAGACTTACAGTCCAGCACTGTACAGCAGGTCATTGTAAGGCAGAGTAGTCAAGACTTACAGTCCAACACTGTACAGCAGGTCATTGTAAGGTAGAGTAGTCAAGACTTACAGTCCAACACTGTACAGCAGATCATTGTAAGGCAGAGTAGTCAAGACTTACAGTCCAGCACTCTACAGCAGGTCATTGTAAGGCAGAGCAGTCAAGACTTACAGTCCAATACTGTACAGCAGATCATTGTAAGGCAGAGCAGTCAAGACTTACAGTCCAGCACTGTACAGCAGGTCATTGTAAGGTAGAGCAGTCAAGACTTACAGTCCAGCACTGTACAGCAGGTCATTGTAAGGTAGAGTAGTCAAGACTTACAGTCCAGCACTGTACAGCAGGTCATTGTAAGGTAGAGTAGTCAAGACTTACAGTCCAGCACTGTACAGCAGGTCATTGTAAGATAGAGCAGTCAAGACTTACAGTCCAATACTATACAGCAGATCATTGTAAGATAGAGTAGTCAAGACTTACAGTCCAATACTGTACAGCAGGTCATTGTAAGGCAGAGTAGTCAAGACTTACAGTCCAATACTGTACAGCAGATCATTGTAATGTAGAGCAGTCACGACTTACAGTCCAACACTGTACAGCAGATCATTGTAATGTAGAGCAGTCAAGACTTACAGTCCAACACTGTACAGCAGGTCATTGTAAGGTAGAGTAGTCACGACTTACAGTCCAACACTGTACAGCAGATCATTGTAAGGTAGAGTAGTCAAGACTTACAGTCCAACACTGTACAGCAGATCATTGTAATGTAGAGTAGTCAAGACTTACAGTCCAACACTGTACAGCAGATCATTGTAAGGTAGAGTAGTCAAGACTTACAGTCCAACACTGTACAGCAGGACATTGTAAGATAGAGTAGTCAAGACTTACAGTCCAACACTGTACAGCAGATCATTGTAAGATAGAGCAGTCAAGACTTACAGTCCAACACTGTACAGCAGGTCACTGTAAGATAGAGCAGTCAAGACTTACAGTCCAACACTGTACAGCAGATCATTGTAAGGTAGAGCAGTTAAGACCTACAGTCCAACACTGTACAGCAGGTCACTGTAAGGTAGAGTAGTCAAGACTTACAGGCCAACACTGTACAGCAGGTCATTGTAAGGCAGAGCAGTCAAGACTTACAGTCCAACACTGTACAGCAGATCATTGTAAGGTAGAGTAGTCAAGACTTACAGTCCAACACTGTACAGCAGATCATTGTAATGTAGAGTAGTCAAGACTTACAGTCCAACACTGTACAGCAGATCATTGTAAGGTAGAGCAGTCAAGACTTACAGTCCAACACTGTACAGCAGGTCACTGTAAGATAGAGCAGTCAAGACTTACAGTCCAACACTGTACAGCTGATCATTGTAAGGTAGAGCAGTTAAGACCTACAGTCCAACACTGTACAGCAGGTCACTGTAAGGTAGAGTAGTCAAGACTTACAGTCCAACACTGTACAGCAGGTCATTGTAAGGCAGAGCAGTCAAGACTTACAGTCCAACACTGTACAGCAGATCATTGTAAGGTAGAGTAGTCAAGACTTACAGTCCAACACTGTACAGCAGATCATTGTAATGTAGAGTAGTCAAGACTTACAGTCCAACACTGTACAGCAGATCATTGTAAGGTAGAGCAGTCAAGACTTACAGTCCAACACTGTACAGCAGGTCATTGTAAGGTAGAGCAGTCAAGACTTACAGTCCAACACTGTACAGCAGGTCATTGTAAGGTAGAGCAGTCAAGACTTACAGTCCAACACTGTACAGCAGATCATTGTAAGGTAGAGTAGTCAAGACTTACAGTCCAACACTGTACAGCAGATCATTGTAAGGTAGAGTAGTCAAGACTTACAGTCCAACACTGTACAGCAGATCAAGACTTACAGTAACACTGTAGATCAGTAGTTAGCAGTCACCTACAGTCCAACACTGTACAGCAGACTGGCGGGCAGTCAGTAAAAGACTTGGAGTGTTGTTTGCTGGTGGCCAGATTTCCTCAAATCTGGACTTGCATTCGAAGTTTGAACAAGGGATCAACATCATGGCACACTGATAGTAACCCATATGCTCCGTTCTTCTTCTAACTCAAGTCTGAGTAGGAATAAGCTCAGCACAGTGCACAGGCTCTGTAGCACCGGCGAGGATCCTGATATACTTTGGGTAGATTTTAAACTCCAAATTTTGCCCTGGCAGCGCCGTTAGGCTACTCTTTTTTTATTTCCAACTGTAAAAGGATTTTTTATGTGTGCAACAATGCACACTGGCGTCCGATCTCACTTCCCAGAGACGAGGGGAATTACTAGAAGTCCAAGTTTAAGCTCAAAAATCCCAGCCTTTAAACGGGATTGAACCCGGAACCTCTAGCACTCGAAGTGGACAGCATGCCTCGAGACCATGCAGCCCGCTATTTTTAAACATCATTACTAAAGTAAGTCCGTTTAATTTCTGTGTAAAATCGAGATGCACACGATATACAAAAAAAAAAAAAAAAAAACTACAATAAAATACAACAGGTCTTTGAGTTTCAATGTTTTGGCAGTATTTTTTCACAGGGCAGATAACTTGGTAGAGAACAAGAAGTAACTGGCCAAAAGGCAAACACAGAGACACATAAATTAACATATTTTCTCAAACATCCAAAGATTAATAATGAGAAAACCCAATGAGAGAATGCCATCAACTACTTACACATCAACTGTCATTGGGAAGTCATCACTCTGAAATTTAAAAAAAAAGGAGATGGTTAATGTGTGCAGCGTATTATAGAAGTGTCTGCTTAAAGAGGTCACAGAATACTTAAAGAAAGTATGACGCTTTCCTATCATATCCTGCGACAACACATGCTCCACACGAATGTGTTTACTGTTCAAGCCAGTTGTGGAGATTTTGTGACAGATCAGTGAATGTATCTATTTTTGTTTGTTATTGTGTCAATGTCCCTTGTGCTGCATGATAATGAAGGCTTCTTAGCCTCAACACTCATGTTTTTTGTGACCGTGACACTGTAAAACTGACTAGTTTACTTCTTGTTTCGATTGACACTTCTCTTTTTTTTTTTTTTTAAATTAACGGCACTGTGTATCAAGCAGAACAAATTCCATATCCTCTCCCTATGAGAATTCCTGGGCTCCATTTTGGAGGTTTAAAAATAAAAAGGGGACCTTGCCCCCCCCCCCCCCAAAAAAAAAATAACACATGCTGTAAATGATGACTAATTAGTGATTATTCCTTCAAGGTCGAAATGCATCTGTCTGTGATTATTCCGTCAAGATCGGAATGCATCTGTTTGTGATTATTCCTTCAAGGTTGGAATGCATCTGTCTGTGATTATTCCTTCAAGGTCGGATTGCATCTGTCTGTGATTATTCCTTCAAGGTGGGAATGCATCTGTCTGTGATTATTCCTTCAAGGTCGGAATGCATCTGTCTGTGATTATTCCTTCAAGGTCGGAATGCATCTGTCTGTGATTATTCCTTCAAGGTCGGAATGCATCTGTCTGTGATTATTCCTTCAAGGTGGGAATGCATCTGTCTGTGATTATTCCTTCAAGGTGGGAATGCATCTGTCTGTGATTATTCCTTCAAGGTCGGATTGCATCTGTCTGTGATTATTCCTTCAAGGTGGGAATGCATCTGTCTGTGATTTTTCCTTCAAGGTCGGAATGCATCTGTCTGTGATTATTCCTTCAAGGTCGGAATGCATCTGTCTGTGATTATTCCTTCAAGGTCGGAATGCATCTGTCTGTGATTATTCCTTCAAGGTCGGAATGCATCTGTCTGTGATTATTCCTTCAAGGTCGGAATGCATCTGTCTGTGATTATTCCGTCAAGATCGGAATGCATCTGTTTGTGATTATTCCTTCAAGGTTGGAATGCATCTGTCTGTGATTATTCCTTCAAGGTCGGATTGCATCTGTCTGTGATTATTCCTCTCAAGGTGGGAATGCATCTGTCTGAGAGTCAAGGAACCAAGTCTACATGCACAAACACAAAAAAGCCAGATATGTAAAACGAATGTGAACTCAAAACTCCAATTTTGGAACAACACTGTAGTCTGTAATTGGATGAACAACCAGAACTTTCCACATGGGTTTACCACCTGTGAATGGTAAGAAGTAAGAAACCGATCCCGTACCTTCAAGCCACACACAAGTAAACAACTAGAATCCCCAAGGTTCTTAATAAAAGTCATATCAAACTTGGAAGAACAAAGATCTGCATGTGGGTTTCCTACTGCAAAGAAAAAAGGTAAAAACATATTTTACCATTGCAACTGTTGCTTTGAAAGCTTTTGAATTCTCTTTGGAAATCCAGGGCCTGCCTAGACAGGGAGGCTGTCCTTCTGGGGCACTTATGTAATCACTCCAGACATAGGAAGGCTTGTCTGGTGTCTGCAAGGAATGTCTTCTTTCAAACTGTAGACGAGACAGAAAGACATCTATGTTTACAAACTTCGGCTAATGAAATCACAGTTAAATTCTAAACTGTACCTGAAGGATGGTGAGTGGTCTTGAGGCATGGCATCCGCCTCGAGTGCTGGAGGTTCCAGGTTCAGGCCCCGGTGAAGGCTGGGATTTTCTTCACGTGGACTTTTAGTAATTTCCCCCTGGTCTCTGTTTAGTAAGATCGGACACCTGTGTGTGGTGTTTTGCACGTAAAAAATCCCTTGGCAGTTGGAAATCAAAAGAAGTAGCTTAACAGCACTGCCCGGGCAAAATCTACCCAAAGTATTTCAGGATCCATGCCGGTGCTACAGAGTTCGTGCACCGCGCTAAGATTCTTCGGACTCAGACTTAGAAGTTAGAATTAGAATGGAGCATTTATGGGTTGAATCATTACAGAAGTCCACTGTGCGTGGAGTCACCTTTATTTTTGTTCTGGGACACGCAGGCGTCGATGGAAATGAAAGAGCTGACAGGTTGGCTGGATCCGCTATCACTACTGACAGTCAGCCTATGAATCATGCTGATATTATCAATGCCTTCCGAGAAATGGTAAGGATAGAGGACTTTGGTGGCAGTGAATCCACATCACTCGCCAGAATGGCAGACTTGGGAATTAAGATCGGCACAGCAAAAAACGAGACGCACACCAGACACGCCAGAAGACTTGTTAATCAACATAGAACTGGTACTATTAGCCATCGGACGTTGGGGTTCATACTGAGGGGAGGATCTGAGCACCTATGGACATGTCCGGAGTGCAATGAGGATAACCCAACTAACTAACTAACTAATTTATGGGTTATTACCTTTGTGCCATAATGTTGTTCAGCTGTATAAACTAAACCAAACCAATCTGTAACTGAAGGGGATTTAACCCTTTAATCTAAAGGGAATCGAGTCTCCTACAGGAACGTTGGAAGACCTGGGTTTGAATCCTTGGTAAGGCTGTGGATTTTTTTCTGTCAGGGGTAAAAATAAAATCTTAACCAGCACAGTTTGTGGGCGACAGCACTAGCCATGTGGGCCTAAGTACTCAAGCTCAAAGACCACAAGCCTACACACACAAATTTGTAAATGTAGGTAGTAATGGCAGTTTTTTCTCCTTATTTTGTGTGTGTGTGTTAAATCTTAAAGCGGACTTAACCCTTTCACCTCAGAATGCAGCTAATTCAGCACAACTGTCCGTTCCCAATCCCTTTAAGTGTCCCTCAACCAGAATATGGCTGCAGTGACTTGAATCTAAAAGTAAAGGTACAAAGGTGAGAGGATTGATTTCACTGCACTGGGTTTATCCCATATGGCTCAGTCTCTCTCCTCTTCGTGTCTGTGTTGGTTCGTCTATATGAGGGTTTTTATGTGCATATGTATGTGTGTCTGTAAGCGTGTCTGTGTGCGTGTCAGTCTGTGTTGTGTATCTGTATGTGTGGTTGCGTGTGTTTCTGTGGGTGTGTGTCTATGTGTATGTTTGTATGTGTATATGTGTGGATGTGGCTGCGTGTTTGTCTCTGTGTGTGTATCTATGTTGTGTTTGTAAGTGTTTGTGCCTGCGTGTCTGTGGATGCGTCTTTTTGATGTGTGCGTGTGTCTGTGTGTGCGCGGGTCTGCGTGTGTGTGTCTGTGCGAGTATTTGTGCGTGATGGGTGTGTTAGTATGTGTGTGTATGTCTCTGTGTGTTTCAGTGTTCGTGTGTGTGCCATTATGTGTCTGTAGGTGTGTCTGTGTGTACGGCTGCATGTGGTGGATCTGTGTCTGTCTGTGGCGACGCGCATCTGTGTGTGTGGCTTTGTGTGTGCCTGTGTGAGTCTCTATGGGTGTGTCGATTATACAATGTCTGCGCCTGTCTCTGTGTGTGTGGTATCGTGGGTATCGGTATTTTAGAGAATTTGTGTGCGCCTGCGCGTGTGTGTCTGTGTGAGAGTTTGTGCATTTGTGAGTGTATTTGTATGTATGTGTGTGTGTGCCATTATGTGTCTGTGTGTGTATCTGTGTCTGTCTGTGGCTGTGAGTGACTGTGTGTGTGGCATTGTGTGTATCTGTGTGTGTGGCATTGTGTGTATCTGTGTGTGTCTCTATCGGTGTATCTATTATATGATGCCTGCGTGTCTCTGTTTTGGTATATGCGTCTGCCTGCATGTCTGTGTGCGTGTGTGACTGTATACGTGCCTGTGTGTTTCCCTGCCTGCGTGTGTGTATGTGTTTGCGTGTGTGACTTTGGCTGCATGCATGTGTGTCTGTGTGGGTTAATGTCTGTGTGCGTCGATGTGTGTGTTTGTATGGGTCTTTTTGTGCGGCTACATGTGTGTATGTATGTGTGTGTATAGCTGTGTGTGTCTATATGTGTCTGGGTTGTATGCATGTGTGTTTTAGAGCATATGTCTGTGTGGGTGACTGTGTGTATGTATGTGTGTATGTATGTATGTATGTGTGTGTGCATGTTCGTATGTATGTGGATATGTGTGTGTGTGTATTGGGTGCCTATGTGTGTGTATGTGTGAGTGAATGGGTTTGCGTGTGTATGTGGGCATGTGTTTTACCACCCATGATTTTGTTTTTGACTTGATATTCATAGTATGCATATTATTACATAAACACAACATGCTTTATTGATGAAATACAACTGCTGTGTGAAAGATGGGAGTTTGGAAGGGCCAAATGTAAGACAGGCCTGCATGCCTAATTTGTAACCCTTTGAAAATAAACTCTGTTCGTTCGTTTGTTCCTCAGAACAGCTAGCTGTCTGTCAAAATTGTCGCTTAGAGCATGACCTCCGTAGCTCTGGCGATGATCCCTAGGGGTCTCCGTTTTGCACTCGTGAACTGAAAGGTGCCGCCGTGAAATGAACCCATGACATTCAAAGCGCACATTAAACGGCTTGACCACTTCGCCAAGGAGACCCCGGTGACTTGAATCGGAGAAGCTTAATTAACGGCAGTGGTCCTGTGTGCACCTGTGAAGTGTTTAGGAAGCAACAAACATATTTACCAAAAATAACATTGAAGACTATTTGTTCCTTGCCTCTTAGGCAGATGCACTGTGACTTCGAAGGAAACAGCCTTACTTTTTACGACATGCCTGTCATGGAGGGAAGTGGGTCCATTCTACTTTTCTTCACCAAAATCGGGTCCTGGAAACAACAGGGAATAGGCACACATTTTTTTTCTGATGGTATGCAACGGTACGCAGTACCGACACCATTTTTTTTCCAGGCATAATTTATTTTGCGCTACTGTAATAGACACTTTGTGATGAGTACCGGTACCTTTTTAAAGACACTATTTAGTGAGTACTGGCACCTTTTCTTCTAGGAGGAAAAAAAAGCACTCGGAACTGTAAATGGAAGTTAACACTTACTCCGTTGGACGAAGCTTCTGCGCTATCCCATGCTCCTTTGCTGATATTTTCCATGATGGCTTTGTTCTTTTTTATATCTTCTGCTGACAGATGTTCACGTCTGCAAGCAAATGTTACACACGATGACATTCTGATGATGATGAATTAGTAAAAAGTAGCAAATACACAACCAGACAACAACTCACTCTCACACTCACTCATTCACTCTCATTTTCACACTCTCTCTCTCTCTCTCTCTCTCGCACACAAATACAAAGCGAGCATTTACTTTTTTCCTTCATATCATGACTTCTTAAATTGTTTTTCCCTAAATATCACAGATCCCTTAAATTGGGAACCACTGTGCTAAATAATTTTGTGATCTCCAAGCATTAGGATCTGATGTTTTTTTTCTAACTGAAAGGAACTGTCTCGAATTTTTCAGACAGCAGTATGAAAGATGATTGCAGCCGAACCACACAGTAATCCAAAATACTGCAGCGAGTGCCCTGTTGGTTAGTCAGTAAGTCTTTCCTCTTGAGCCTAGGGTGGCACATAGGGCAGAGGTTATAACTGTCCATGCCTGGCAGTTCGTTGCCACCTGTTTTAGGTCTTGGAATGTTCGTTAGGCAATGGCTGAGTCTTCCCTGATGATGATTCTACATGGTCTCTTTCTGTCCTCCCTATTTTCTTTTCACTTTTGGTGTTCATACGAGACCTTGACGGGGGAGTCTGGTTTTATCCATTCTCAGTGCATGGCCGATCTAGTACAATGGTAAACTGGTATCATCATTATTGATCTTATCTCTAATAACATACAATTTTCACAAGACCCACCTTTTCTTGGATTCCAGAATAAGATTGTTTACACTGTAGAAATCAGATCTGTACTCTCCCACCAATTCCTGGTCACAATAGAAAGAAAACAATTAAATCTTTAGCATTGCCAGTTTCAGCAGTAAGGCCAAACAGCTCAAACGGGAAATCCCTATTTTGTGACACTGGCTTGGCTGGTCGTTGCTCATCGTTGTAATTGAGTAGATTTATACACAAATTTAACTACAGTTTAATTACCTTGCAACATGTGTAACTGAATGAATTTAAACTCTGAAGATAAATAAGTAGGCTATTAGAAAATATAATAATAATAATAAAAATAACAACTTTCATCATTATTTTAACACACATAAACTAACTGATTTATCTTTCCCGGAACATGCAAAACAGTTAGATCATCTTCTCCTAAATTTTCATCAATTTACTGTCATACAGAATATAAATTTCTTACTGATTTACCTTCCCTAAACATTCACAAACTTTTTATTTTTATCCCTGAACAAACATAAACTTACTTATTAATCTTCCCTACTTATTAATCTTCTCTAAACATTCACAAACTTACCGATTTATCTTCCCTGAACAGCCACCCGCTCTGAGCTCTGGAAAAAGTGATCCGTTTTGTTGACATCTGGGCTGCAACAACATCACTGCTCATCAAAATATCAACTTCCTCCTCCAACTCCACGTCACTATCCTGAAAATATCAATCGCAGCTTAGACGTAGCTTAGACCCTCAACCAACTTTCACCAATTCATTCTTCTTCTTTTTCTCTAATCCTGTTCCCCCTTTCAATGTTATTTTGAAGAGGCATCAGGTGTGAGCCTTGTTATGTGCTAGGCAGATGCTGGTAACTTACAGCCTCTGACATTCCATCTATCCATCGCCTGGGTGGTCGACCTCTAGTTCCATTTCAATTATGCTTAAGTAACATCTCTCTCTGTGACGCACTATCTGGTGGTAGTCTTGACACATGTTCGAACTATTTGATCTGTTCTGTATCAGTTCTATTTTTCTTCTTCTCATTTCTTCAAGCAAGATTTAATCTAGCACCGCTTCTGGGCCTGTCGAAGTCATCCTATCCTTATCATGTGTTATCAGGTCTTATGAAAGAGGATATAAGTACTGTCTTTTACCATGCATGTTAAAATTTGCAAGGGAGTATGGGTGAGACTGGCTACATAATTTTACAGAAAATTGTAGCGGCAAAATGCAGTTAACCAAGAACAATTCTACAAGGTGAAGCAACGTTTCTCATTGTGAATTTGATTAAAGAAGAGAAAAATAAAGGGCTGCATAATTTATTGCCAAGAATATTTCGCTGTACCTCGTCAGGTGCACACTACAGTGACAACTGATTAAAATTAAGCACATAAATGAATCCTTCTAAACAGAAATACAAAATCCACTACATTCAACAACAAAAATTACTGTTTCGCCAGGGCAAGCACACAAAGTCATGACCATCTCCTTTTGTCTGCATAATTCTGGACTGATAATACAAGCTATGACAATAAAGTAGTTCAGTTAAGAATTTTGCTTCTCAGAACTTCACCTTGTGCCCAATCAAGACTGGGTCGACCTGGCAGTCAAAATCAATTATTTTTAAAAGTCTGGTTTCATTCAGATATGAACCCACAACCTTCAGATCCACAGGTCTAGCCACTACACTATGGCATAACTGTATGGTACCAAATAACTACAATAAAACTAAATTTGTGATATGTCAAAAGCTCCATATACAAAGAAGTGCAGCTCTGTGGCTGGCTTAAGATGATAGTGAACACATTTCCCTGATGTACCAGGGTAAATTCCAATATTATGTGGTGAAGAAAAAAGATGTTTTAGTGGCTTTGGCATAGTGGTACGAGAATCATACTGTGAAAGAAGATAATAAGTCCTCACAACATAATATTCTCAAAGACAGCACAATTACATGGCAGCCAAATCTCTTTTGTGGAGAAGGCACAACTTTGTTTTTATTATTATTCAAGGAAGATACAAAACCTGATAAGAACCCAGCTTGAAAAAGAGGGAGAGGTTAAACAAGAAAATAACCTGCATTAACTGAAGCTTTGTCTAAAATCTGGACACACAGGCAAAAATAAATATTTTTAAGAAATGAAATTTATTAACATTCTATTCAACTAGAATGTTAAATAAATAACATCTTCTATAGAATTTTCATCATTTGTGATGCAAATTCCCCTGAACGTGGGGTATGTGCTATACAAAATTCATGTGAACTGTCAATTTTAGCACATCCACTTTTTATTTCTTCGGTGTTCAGACTTTAGGGACACAAGTAATGGAAACAACACTGATACCTCGTATCTAACTCACTGATAGACTTCAGACTTTAGGGGCACTAGTAACAGAAACAACACTGATACCTTGTATCTGTCTCTCTGATAGAATTCAGATTTTAGGAAAACAAGTAATAGAAACAACACTGATACCTTGTATCGGTCGCACTGACAGAATTCAGATTTTAGGGACACAAGTAATGGAAACAACACTGATACCTCGTATCTGACTCGCTGATAGACTTCAGATTTGTTGTCTAATACTGATAAACTGTGCTGCGGTTTGGCCTCTCCATTGAAGAGGAAAGTTATGTCCCCTCGTTCCCAGCGCATCTCTGTAAAGTCTACCAATGTTGTATCTAACCTGTGAGAGAGAAAGGTATTTTTAAAGTTCAATCAAGTTTGTGAAAGAAAACTAGGTTTTTAAAGTATAATCTAGTGTTTGAGAGAATACCAGGTTTAATAAAGTGTATCTAGTTTCTGAACTAGTTTAAAGTATAATCTAGTGTTTGAGAGAATACCAGGTTTAATAAAGTGTATCTAGTTTCTGAACTAGTTTAAAGTTTAATCTAGTGTTTGAGAGAATACCAGGTTTAATAAAGTGTTTATAAACAAACTTTTTTATTTCTTCAAAGAGTTAAGAATTAAGTACCTAAGTCTGTAATAATTGTAGAGGGAATAAATAACAAGACTGAAAAATTATTATTTTTTAAAGGGGGCATATAGTTAGATAATATTCAAATAGTTTGTGACAGGAATTAGTGGTATAATGTGAGATTGTATACACTTTGTGACAAAAAACAAAATTAAACAAAATCTATCAAATATGCATCTAGTTTCTGACAGAAACCCAAGTCTATGAAAGTTTTATATACCTTATAAGAGAAATTTCTTTACAAGCTGTATCTTTTTTTTTTTGTGGGGAAAAATATATCGAAGTTGTATAAACTTTATGAGAGTAAATCAAATTTAACAAATTGTAGCTAGACTGTGAAAGAAAATCAGATCTACTAAAGTCGTATCCAGTTTGTAAGAGAAAACCAAGTATTTCAAAGCTGTGCATGCTTTCTTTGCTAGCAATAAGTCTGAACAAGTTGTGTCTAGTTTATGAGAGAACACCAAGTCTACTAACATTCTACTTAAACTCTAAGAATATCAAGAAGAGCATTTTTAAACTGCAAAATTAAATAAAAGAGAAAAAAAGAAAATAACAACTGACAGGAAATGACACTCACCGAATTCTGGACCCTTTCTTGCGTATCCTGCATATATCAGATGGTAACATTCTTGATACCAGAGGCACTGGAAAATTATGTGTTAAACTATTTAGAATTTAATATTTGGGAGAAAAAAACCTGAAAAAAAAGGACAACGGGTTGAAACAACTCAGACAATTCATTAAAGAGCAACAGATGAGATGGTCTGAAAATCTGAGGAGAACGTTTTGACACCAATTGCCATAGAGAGCCACATGGAAGAAATATAATGGAGCAAGGGGATAACCATGTAAAAGTGGAACAACAGCACTGAGAACAGAATGAATGAAATGAAGCGGAATTTATACAATGTATCATAAAGAACACAATAAAGATACTTACATATCCCAACAACACTTCAGTAAGGAGAAGGGAGGGAGAAAAAAAAAGAAGAAGCACTGATTTAATCAGAGATGTGACTGAGTGATAAAATATCAAAGCCTGTGATTATGGGCATAACACATGTTGATGATGATAATGATGACAACAATGACAATGATGATGGTGATACCGATGACAATGATGATGATGATACAGAACAATTATAAAATAAGAAAATTAATGAGATAGTACAGTCAGACACCATGTCAATGCAGAGGTCTGACATCATATGGGCAACAACAATAAACAAAAATGATTATTCTTCACAGGACTTTGCAGGACCATTTCTTGGCTGTCTGTGATTTTATGACTGTGTGTAAGCACCAACTCTACCACAAGTAATCACAATGGAGTACTCACCCCAGCTCTGAAAATCCCATTTGAGTTCAAGGTCAAAGTCCCCAATGGCCCTCAGTGCCTGAACCAGGTGGGGTCGTCTCTCTTCTAAGGCCTCTCTAGATTGTTGTTTTAACTTGCGCAGAAGTAATAAAACTGCAATCAAAGATCACACACACAAAAATAGTTGTAATACAAGGGATACAATTTGGTCAGAGCTTACAAAAAAAAATCAATGCTTCTTTAATTCATTTCTATACCATACTGAAATCTTACTTTTGGAATTAATCCATGAACTGCGACTCAGAAGCTTAATAAAAGGGGGAGTGAGGGGAACAAGCTATACACAAAAGAAAGATTGGGCGTTTTGGCCAGAGCCTTTCTCAGTACAAACCACAACAGCAGCACCGGGCAGAGTACCCTGGCCACCTATCACCACACAGTTGGGTCATTAATTATCAGTTGTCCCCAAGTGGGATGAAATTTTTTGTTATTTGAAGCCCAACCCTGGCTTCCGCCAGGGGCCCTGAATATAGCCGGGGCATAGATACGGTCTAACGGCTGAAAGGGGTTTCTGGGACCTCTTCATGGGTGATCCTTATCTGCATGGTGGCACTTTGTGTCACCGGGCGTTTATCGCTTGTGTGATGTCCTGGTGGGGTACAACCAACTAATTACCTACCTACCTGATTTTGCTCATTGAAAATGTGTCCCTATGTGGGATGCAATGCTTGGGGTAAAAAGTCAGTCAGTCAGTTGAGTGACAAGAATAACTATAGATATAGAAAGAGGAAAAGGCAATGTTGAACGAATGAAATGAATGACTGAGCAAAAATAGTAATAAAAATAATAATAATAGTAGTAACAATAGTAATCGGAAAAATAATCATAGCAACAGTGGAAACAATAATAACAATAACATCAGTGGAAATAATAACAGTTGTAGGAATAAAAATAGTTACGATCCATAAACAGTAACAATAACAGATAGAATAAAGTTAAATTAAAAACACAAAATAAAACAGAAGTAAGAATAAAAATATTATTTAGAAGAAGGTTTGCTGAACAGTGACATCAGAGGAGCTCAAACTGGTGGGCTTATTATCAGGTGCCTTGCAGAGCTGCAAGGGTGATCAAGCTTCTCCACATCCTGCGATCTCGAGAAGCCATGTACATTCTTAATCAACTGTTTAAATGTCCATGATAACCTCTCACATTCTTTAAAAAAAAAAATCCACACTGCAACTGCCCCTAGTTTCTAAGTCTTTTCATTACTCATTGTTTAGAAAGAGACCATATATTAGAAGCATTAATTTAAAGCCCATTTATGTCGCACCATGAGTAATTGTGTACAATGCAAATGATGTTATAGTCATTTGATAAGTACTGACCAATTAATAAAATAGCACATGCTTATCATTCCACGATGTATAGATTCTATTTCTGACCACTGAGAAAATGGCCAGGTTGATGCAACATCTGTCCAAAGAAGCTCAAAGAGAAGTAATTCAGTTTCTTTTATTTGAAGGAAGTTGACCAGTGGACATTCACTGAAGGAAACAGGCAGCACCCGGTCAAAAATGTCACAGACAAACAGTGGAAAGGTTACATGAATTCATGACGGATCTTCCATGGCTGGGTCAAACGCATATTTTAGCAACAGAAACTACCATCACCAAAATTAATGCAGTAATATAGGTGAACAGTTACCAAAGCATATTTTCACAGGCAAAACACAATCTGATGTGTAAATTGGAGCAGTTCAAATGGCTGCTCGTAAGAAACTGCAATACCGAAGGGGCGGACACAGTGGGTACCAAGGATGCTGACCAACTACAAAAGGAGGAATGTGAAGGATGGTGTGGAACAACTTGGCTACATTAATGATAAAACAGAGGGTGATGCATTTCTCTTCCACACCGCGACAGGCGATTAATCACGGTGTCGACATTTGTGAGCCAAGCAGCGAAAGAGAGAGACAGCGTGCAATGGAAGCATGCTGAATCACCTAAAGCCAAAACAAATCAAAGGTTCTGATGGTGAGGTTATGCTGAGCAAATTTTGTTTTTAAAAACCATTCATTCATTCATTCAGTAGCATGTCCCTCGCGGAACCTCGCTGCCATAACAACCCTCCGGAAAACCTTCCTATCCTGAGCAAGATGTCCTGCGTCTGATACACCCATCTGGAGATCATCTGCCACATCCTGCACCCATCTTCTCCTTGGCCTTCCTCTTCCTCTCTTCCCAGGCATATACCCCTCCATTATTGTTTACAAACCATAAAGGGCTATGATTAGGAGACTGTAAAGAACTAAACAACCTGGTGTCAACACCAGCTATACCCAATACTAGGAAACAGCAGACAAGATGCATAATGAACACAGTAAAAATGCCTGGTTCAATGAGCAACCACAGAACATGAGAGAAGACTAACCACCTGTGAAATGAGATGTTTGAGAATGGCTGCGAATAAAACCAGAAGAGATCGAGTCAGAAACGATGTGATTACAAGAACTATTGGAACCATACCCATCGTTAAATTTATTGAGAAGCAAAGAATGAAATGGTTTGGTCACCTAATGAGAATGGAACCAACGATGCCAGCATCAAGAGCATACAACATGAAAATCGAAACAACAAGAGGCAGGGGAAGACCAAGAAGAAGATGGATTGAAGGAGTCACGGACAACTTGAGACTTCATAACATCACGGCATATGAAGCGACTGAGCGCGCCCTGGCTCGGTTGCCGATCATCTGATAGACTGCGACGCCTAGCGGCACAAGCTGATTTTGACAAAAGAAAGAAGAAAGAATGAGCAACCACCATTCTTTTTTTTTTCTGCGGATGGCATTAGCTGCCTACCTAAGCAATAGGGACGATTACCTGAAAACCAGGTTAACAACAATCTGCTTATGAAAAACACTAGGTTAACATGAACTAAATTTCTGTCCTAGCAAAGATGTATTATTATTATTAGTCCCTGGTTGGCATACAATTTTTGTAAACACAAACTCTAGATTTTGGGGGGATTTGGAATTCATTATAACAAGGTTTTACTGCATTTCTATGTTTCATGTTACAATTCAACACAATATATAAATATGACATTTAAAAAAAAAAAAAAAGGAAACATACTTGTCTGTCTGTCTCCATAACTGATAGCTTCAGCAAGAGGAGTCCACCCCAAGGCGTTCTTCAACTTGACAGGAGCACCATGAGCCAGGAGTAAGTGCACGCATTCTGAAATACATCACGCATGTACGTCCGGAAATACTTCATCACGCATGAATTAGTGAAATACTTTATTACACATGTATTACTAAAATACAGCGTCCCACATGCTTTAATAAGATTCTGTATCATATATATATATATTTGCACCTGACAGAGCTGGCGAGTAACGATACAAAAAAAAAACTGGTAACCAAACAACATGAGATGTTATGCGACATGGGCTTTTTTCTATTAAAAAAAAGTGCCAGTACTCACCATAGAGGGTCTAATAGAATTCACCGTTACGCACCAAAAAGTACACAGCATCTATTATAGTAATGCTCTGGGCAAAAAATAAAGTCTAAAAAAAAATGTACAGATAACTGCATACTGTTGCGAAACGTAACAAAAAAGCCCCATACAGAACTATGATGAAAGAAGAGAATACAACAGTAGCTAGACCAAGACTTCGTCAAAATGTATCTAAAGAATAAAAATATACAAAGCTGTCTCAAATAAACGTTGATTCCCGCTAAAACACAGTAAAACAGTATCTCAGAAACACTAATGCTGGGCTCGGGAAGAGAAGTGAAAAAATGCCAGCGAATCAAGAAGTGAGAAAAACAATCTCCCAAAACATCATAACAGTGTAACTAGAACATCTTATTACTGGAGCCCACAGAAGCTTGATCCCTCTTTACAGAAGTCAGCAAAAATGTGCAAGACACAGGCAGCATTGCAAAATGAATCAAACATAAAAAAGCTACCTTTGTGGCCCAGCATGATTGCAATATGGAGAGGTGTGTTACCTGAAAAACAAAAACAGGATTGCTTAACATTAACGATAATTTTCAATCATGGAACAAAACCAAGATAACAGCTAACAATTACATCTATAGTTAACACTGATTTTTCAACATAGTGATTAGTAAGGATTATCTTCACAGCACTCGGGACAGATTAATAGGTTCCTCAAAAGCTCCACAAGTGTAAAATGACTGACGACGCATGTTTTGTATTGATTAATTAAACATCTTCTCCCCTTGGTGAACTGTTCATTTCTTGCAGCTCCAGGTTTCATCCTAATGTCCATCAGTCTAGACTTGGCTTTGGAGTCATGCCCTTTGCTGTATTCATTTTCGTGATACGTGTGCACGACATTGATAATGTCGCTTCTGTCAAGTACAGGACCAGCCATAGCAACCGCAGTGTCCGCATAATAATCTGCATGCCTGTTGCATCAAACACCCACAGCCATTTCTTAACATGTCTTAAGTTGGTCATCTCAGACGGGGTGGGAGAAAAAGGAACAAAATAATGGTTGAAGAGGGGGGGGGGGGGAGGCTCTCAGAAGATATGATCAGCTGAATGTTAAATTAAGAATTGACATCACAGCACTCAGGACCCTCCCATAAGTGCTCAGTCCCCATCTTCAGCAGCAAGCAAAGAGTTCCAATTCCGATGGTACTAGTAACACTCTGACTGTATATCCATCTCATCCTTTCCCTGAGTTGAGCATTCCCATACATGATTAGTCCTCCAGTGCAGCAGCCACTCCAGGGTACCTCTACTGATTGTTTCCATGATGAGCTCATTATAATATCTCCTATCTCGGTCTCGAATGGGGCATAGTCATGCTTCACCATGCTTTACTCCATGTCATGCAATAGTGTTAGTGTCAGAGATTTGTCATTATTCACTAGCCCAGTCCTTTAGCTACAGTAATAGAAATGTATGCCACATTAAAATTGCCTATATCAAGACCACCACTAGCAGACAGCCACCTGTGGCAAACAAACCAAATTGTAGGTTAAAATAAAGACAAGAGATAAGGGAATCATTAGATAGTAGCCCCCGTGTGGGTTCCGGGGCTCTATTGTGGGGAAAACAAGAATAGACCCACTGCCTCCCCAAAAGCATGTCGTAAGAGTCGACTAATTGGGGAGCTTCCTTTTAAGTCGGAGTGCATCTGCCGGAGAGGCAAGGAACCAACAGTCTGTATTCAAGAGAATAAGATCTGTAAAACTGATGCACACACAACACGCAGGTTCTGGAGCAGGACTTCAGTTCAGTAGTGGACGAGCAACCAGAACTTTCTGCCAGAGTTTACAGCTGGTGAACGCGAAGAAGAAGATAAGATAGAAGAAGTACCACGCAACTTTTCTCACCTAACTGAACCATTAATAGCTGTAAAAATACATTAGCAATAATTTATAAAGATAAACGTTGATGAGAGAGGCAAAAGGTACTGAATTAGATTCCATTCACAACAGTGAAACTATGGCAAGGGAAATAGTGTGAAAAGTCACACAACTGCACAATAAACCTTGACGAAAGAGGCCAAAGGTGCTGCATTTGATCTTATCCACAACAGTGAAACAACTGCAAGACAAATGTTGATAACAAGCCAAAGGTGCTGGATTACAGTGGATTGGATCCCATCCATGACAGTGAAAAATTATTGCAAAATAAACACTGTTGTGTGACAGGGAAACAGCTGCAAGATAAATGTTGATGACAGGCCTAAGGTGCTGGTCCGGATCTCATCCACTGAGCTAAAACAACTGCACGACACAGGATAGGTAGAGTGACAGTGAAAGAATAAATTGCAAGCCCTATGTGACGATGTATGATAAAGGTCTAACATGATGATGATGGTGATTAATTTTTAAAGTTGAAACAGCTGTCTCTCTGGCGCCAGATGTGACTCAGAGGGCTAACACTAATAGTACGAGGGTGATAATAATTATTAATAAAATTATTAAGTACTTGAAATTCGTAAATGGTATGGCTAAGTTAGGCAAAGAAAGTAGAAAGAAAAGAATCATCAATTTCAATCATTACAAATAATCTCAATCAACGTTCATATTAAACGTTCATTATTACAATTTTAACTTGAACTAACGCTACCATGTCGTAATAACTGAGATAAATGTCACAGAGAGTCAAGGTACAGACCATGGATATCCTTCTGAGCGACATCACAAGTCCTGATCAACTTAGAAACCTGCTTCACGTCCCCGCAGAAGACGCTCTGGTGGAGAGGGTAATCCGGGGTCGCCATCTTTATTTACAAGTCAACAATCACTGAGGGTGATCATTGATTATTTTATTCACATTCATTTTTAAGTATCTTTGTCTATTTAGATCAGTAATAACCTTTTGTTGGTTTTATTATAACTTAGAAGTTTAAATTTTCGTTTGATCTTGTCTTTTCCTTAAATATATTAAGAATATGAGACATATCTAATGTATTTGATGTGGGTGATAAAACAATAGACACTCCCTTAACCAAGCCTTCCTTTCACCCCGAAGAGCGGCGGGTGGGAGAAGAGAGGAGGGTCGGGTTATGTGGCAATGACTCATTCGTTCACTCAATCATACACGCGTTCATTACAAGTGTTTGTTTTAGAATTAGATACACAGACAGCCAAAACACGCTGTTATGCATTTAGATGGGTAGACTGAAATGTTATATCAAGCCTGTTCTGTTGTGTGGTTGCGAATCTAGGAATGTGAGCAAACAAATTAAGACGATTGAAAGTAACTGATATGTTGTTCTTGAGAAGAATGTCAGGAATACCTTTGACAGAAAAACAAACAATGCCTGGAAACGAAGAATCAAAGTGTAACATTGAGAAGGAGAAAAAGGTTTTTTGGTCATAAGAAAAAGAGCACTGGAAAATATCGTGGCGACTGGAAAGATCACTGGTAGAATAGGCAGAGGCAGACCAAGATAAAAATTGTGGATGGTACCGTCAACTGTATCAGCTGCTATAAGTAAGACAAAGAAGGTGGCGATACAATAGATACCATTTGACGAGAAGAACCGAATATTTGAGTAAATCTCTTGATCAGTGTTTTCAAGTGGTATCGCATTTTTTTTTTTAAAATAAGTGTGTGCGTATTTAGGTCAACATAAAGTGCGAAGATTACAATGATGGCTGAAAGTATAAAGAAAACGATCACATAGCAAGAATAGACAATACGGTGCAAAATAACTCCGGAATAATTATTTAAGGTAAAATACTGAAAAGAAATAAGTACCCAGCAAGTAACTGGCAAGGCACATTTTGATGATGATGAGATAGAAGGGTAGAAATGTCACCGTATAGGACAATCCGAAACACCATACTATAGGAGAGACAATGCAAGCATGTAGACAGATAGATAGATAGATAGATAGATAGATAGATAGATAGATAGATAGATAGATAGATAGATAGATAGATAGATAGATAGATAGATAGATAGATAGATAGATAGATAGATAGAGATAGATAGATAGATAGATAGATAGATAGATAGATAGATAGATAGATAGATAGATAGATAGATAGATAGATAGATAGATAGATAGATAGATAGATAGATAGATAGATAGATAGATAGATAGATAGATAGATAGATAGATAGATAGATAGATAGATAGATAGATAGATAGATAGATAGATAGATAGATAGATAGATAGATAGATAGATAGATAGATAGATAGATAGATAGATAGATAGATAGATAGATAGATAGATAGATAGATAGATAGATAGATAGATAGATAGATAGATAGATAGATAGATAGATAGATAGATAGATAGATAGATAGATAGATAGATAGATAGATAGATAGATAGATAGATAGATAGATAGATAGATAGATAGATAGATAGATAGATAGATAGATAGATAGATAGATAGATAGATAGATAGATAGATAGATAGATAGATAGATAGATAGATAGATAGATAGATAGATAGATAGATAGATAGATAGATAGATAGATAGATAGATAGATAGATAGATAGATAGATAGATAGATAGATAGATAGATAGATAGATAGATAGATAGATAGATAGATAGATAGATTAGATCGATAGGTAGGAAGACAAATCGATAAACACTAGGTAGGCAGATCGTAGACTGACTTATCGACATAGTAACGAGGCGTGCATGTGACGGTTGTGATCGTCGCTTACATTTCCCATTGCCAAATAAAATCGTTTCACTATTTCTTTTTCTTCTTCTTCTTCTTTTTTTTTAATTTTTTCTTCTTCTGCTTCTTTTTCTCCGTCTTCTCCACCATTTACCTCAGCGAGGTGTTGAGGGGTGAGAGGGGCCGGGGAAGATGTAAGGATAGTTTTTGCGCTTTTTTTTTTTTTTTTCCAATGCTTTGTACAAGTTGGTGTTCATTTCTGTTAGGCTGCTCCTGATGGTGTCGCTCCATCTATTGCTTGGCATTCCTCTTGCTCTGTGTTCATTATATTTCTTCAGCGTGGCTCTCTGTGGCAGTTGGTACCAGGGCATTCTCATCGAGTGGCCAAAATATCTCATTTGTTGTTCTTTACTTAACTGTATGACTGGTTTCAGTACAAGTCTTCTTCCAATTTCTTTTTTCAGTGATTTTATTTCCTCTTCTCACACCGGCAGCTCTCCTAAGACATCTCATCTCTGTTGCTACGATCTTTAGCTTATTAGATGTAGTAAGGGTCCATGTTTGGCTCTGGTCTATTTATTATTACTGTCTACTAGTTATTATTACTATATACTATTTATTATTACTGTCAACTAGTTATTATTCCTGTCTACTATTTATTATTACTGTCTACTATTTATTATTTCTTTCTACTATTTATTATTCCTGTCTACTATTTATTATTACTGTCTACTATTTATTATTACTGTCTACTATTTATTATTAATGTCTACTATTTATTACAAATACGCGGCTCGGTTTACGTCTCAAACACAGCAAAAATAACGCCTGCTGCAGGCTTACGCCACTCATGCACAAACTTTAACATATGAAAGCTACCAGTTACTAGTACTACAATGCTAGCAGCGCACGCATGTTCCAAACAACAAAGTTAGGTGATTATATAGTGGGGTACTTTCTCCAGTGTAACCGTGACCCGTTAACACGCGAATTTATCATGCTTCGCTGCTGATAAATTACAATGCACGGATATTCTAGTAATATTTTTTAGATGGCGCTTCATGTATGTCCTATCCAGTGCCACTGTCTTCTCCTCTCGCCTTAATACTATACAACAGTTTTTCAGCCTTGTGCAGGTAGCACCCCCTTGAAGATACGTCAAGACCCCCAGCGCTCAGCCATGCGGACAAAAGCGAGGAGGATGTAGAGAGAAGGAAGAAGAAAGAGAAGGAAGGGTGGTAGGAGGAGAAAGAAGAAGCAGCAAAAGAAGATGCACACAGATATCACGACACAGTTGCAAAACCCCACAGAAACTAAACCCTGTTGAACGCGGGGTGGGACAAACCATTGATTCCCGCCATCATCTGGAACCCTGACCTTCTCTACTCCTGTCTTGCTGGGAAGAATCTTGCTCGTGGTAATTGTGGTGGAATCCACACGTTTCTTCCGCGATAAATGTTGCCAAGTTAGTCAAGTATCTCTTGGATACAACACTTCCATCAGACACCAACTCGTTCATATGTGATTTTGTCTTGTATTCCAAGGTGAGTAACTCGTAATTAATCATGTATAGCAATTTCCATTCATGTTGAAAGAGATGGTGCAGATTTATGCCCCCTGCTCTATAATTTGCTTCTGAAATTCCCCGCAACGATCACGTTGACGTCATTATTTGTGTACAAAAGAAAGCCATTTTTGAGGCTGTTATTTCTTTGAGCTGTCATATTTTTTTAATTTGGTTGCATAAATGAATGGCAAAAATTCACAGGAGGCCAAGAAAACATGGCAATGTAGAACGTTTGATCCTAGAAAACATTGTTCTATCTATCTATCTACTTATACCCCACCATGACATTACACAAGCGATAAACACCCGATGACACAAAGTGCCACCATGCGGATGAGGATCACCCGTGGAAAGGTCTTAGAAACCGTGTTCAGCCACTAGACCATACTTTTGGCCGGGCTATATTGCGGCCCCTGGCAAGAACCAGAGTAGGGCTTCAAATAACGAAAAATTGCATCCCACAAGGGGCTGACAAGATATTGTTGATCATTATAAAACATAGTTGGATTAGATTAATGTCAGGTAATTAAGATATGCATTTAAATAATGTGGACACAAACAATACAGTGTGCAATTCTGTGTACTGTATTGTTTGTATTCGTATTATTTAAATTTATAACTGGAAAACATTGTTTTGATTTTCTAGATATGTATATGTCTAAGAAGATTGGTGAAACAAAATGGAACAAATGCAAGAAAGACGAAGAAATTGTAGGTAGGTAATTGTACCCCACCGGAGACATCACACAAGCGATAAACACCTGGTGACACAAAGTGCCACACTGCGGATGAGGATCACCCGTGGAGAGGTCCCAGAAACCCCTTTCAATGGTTAGGCCATTCTATGCCCCGGCTATATTCACGGCCCCCGGCAGAAATAAAAGACATGCGAACAACAACTGGTATCAACTGTTATAGCCCGGCTCTCTAGCGGAATTGGCTAAACCGGATTTCGCGGAGACCGGGTGACGTACTCCTTGTGGTCCGGGTTCAAATCCGGGGGTAGGCAGGAAAGCCACATTTTATCCCAGATTGACGGTATTTACAATGGAATCAAGGCCGAAAGGTTGCGATATCCATAATACCGAGCCTAAGGGTGAACAACTCATGGATTCTGGATACTAAAACAAACATCAACTGTTATAAAGCAAAGGTGTCGATACATTGGATACCGCTTGGCGAGAAGCTACGAATATTTGAGTAAATTATTTAATCAGTGTTTTTGATAAGTGTGTGCGAAAAAAGTCAACATTAAGTGCCAAGATTACACTGATGGCTGAAAGTACAAAGAAAACGATCACATAGCAAGAATAGACAATAAAGTGAAAAAGAACTCCGGAAAAATTATTTAAGGTAAAATAAGGAAAAGAAACAAGTACCCTGCAAGTAAAGAGTTACAGAGAGACAGTAACTGTTTGTACAGAAAAAAATCATGAAAATGTTAGGCTATCTACTAGTAGTAATAATACATGATGGGATCCAGGGGAAAACCACAACAACGTGATCCTGACAGAGAGTAGACATGCAGACAGGCAGACAGGCAGGCATGTAGGTAGGCATGTGG